TTTCCGCTTTGTAATGATCGTTCGTGCTGCCCATCTTCGACAAGCCACGTCAATTTTTCGAAAATCCCCTAATTTACCAAAATTATACTCAATGTTCTCGTTCATGCGACTTTTGCGCTCATCGTACGATCTATTATCCTTTCGCTTTGCTTGAAAGACAACCTTATTGGCATGACTCGACAAACACGACACAACACTTTGTTGGAGCATGTTTATCACAAAGATTGCGTGCATTTCGTTGGACTGTGAAGGACGCGTGCAATTTATGCAATGCAATAAATACGTGTTTCGTCAATCGAGAAAACGTCGAGAAATGTGAAATTTCAATCAGCGACTAATAAATATTCAGATAATTCAATTGTTTCGCTCATTTACTAAAAAATTATTGATTATTCAGAACACTTTATGTCTAAACACTCTTTCATGCGAGAAAGAGTTTGCAATGAGCCTCACGGACAACGCAGTCGTGCTTAGTTGGCGCTGTGCCTATTAATTAGCCGGAAAGGTCGACAATTTTGGAGCATCCATGGCATGGGTCAACGACGCAAAGGAGATCGATGAAGCCTCATTAGGCGACATCGCACACGCGCCAGACGACACTCGCGAAAAAAGAGCTACTGCTGCTTGCACGTGCAGGCGCAGACTCCAGGTGTGTAGGCGCGTGGCGGCAGGTGGTGAGCGCCGCTGGAGCCTAAAACTTACCTCTCTCTCTCTCTGTCTTTCTCTCTTCATTCGCCTTCTCTTGCTCTTCTTTTTTTCTCTTTTGAAGGGAGATCGGATCTAATTTATCTGGCTCTCTTAGCTTGAGGCAACACTGCTGCCGCCGCCGCCGCCGCCGCCGCCGCAGCCGCTGCTGCTGCTGCTGCTGCTGCTGCTGCTGCTGCTGCTGCTGCTGCTGCTGCTGCTGCTACTGTTGCAGTGGATAAATTTGCCGGCTTCTTTATCGAGACTGTCGCAATTTTCATTCCTTTGGAACTGACTGTTGCTCGCTGCTGCTAATCCAACCGCCGATGGATTGATTTTGATGCGATGTTTGCGCTTTTATCTTTTACGTTTCGCGTGGTGTTTACCACGGCCGCTTGGCCTTCTCGTGTTGCGGCTCTTTTTCTAAGATTGCAGGCGATTGAATTTGGTTTTTGACCCCTCTTTATTCATTCGATTATGATTTTTGTTGTATTATCTTGGGATTCTCGTGAATAGCGAGCCTTAGGAGTTTGCGAGTGTAGCAAATTCAATTGAATTTGATGAGGTGATTAAAAAGTGGAAAGGGCAATAACGAGGCACTGCAATCCGAATGGGGGTCTTGCGGGACAGTAGCAATCGGAACTGAATCTGAATAACAAGGCCGCAGCAGCATCCAAGCAATTTGCTTGCACTCTCGCGTAAAGATAATGGGTTTCCTTAGGCGGCACGGCGTGCTGCCTATGGCATTGTCCTGTGTGCGCTGATGGCACACAGGTGCTGAAAACGGACACCACTCTGTGGCTCGCGAGCGCGCCGGGGCCATTGTGCTCAAGAAGCACGCGTCAGAGCGGCGAAGAAGAAGAAGGGGCCCTATAATTTCGGACATGAAAAATATTGCGCTTCGGTATAGACAATGGCGTGCCGCCGATATATAGCTGCTGCCGCTCTCCTCGCCGAATAAATGAGCGCTCAAGCGAGGATCATTTGCACCTTGCTCTTTTTCAGTCGTCCTGCCTACAAGCTGCTCGTCAATGGGCTCGCCGTGCAGACTTTCCACTGGCCCAGCGACGAGTTGATAAACTCGTGCTGTTGCGATAATTTGCCGACAAATTGAGCGCACAAAAACGCTTCGAACTGTAACGAGCGCCCGTCAATGGATCATCGCTGCTCATTGCTTATACGTCGATGAGAATTGAAAGAGAAAGGTAGCGAGGATGAAAACGCGCGTCGATGCCGCGCTGTCCGAAGTCATAACGTTGGAGCGTGTCCGCGAGGCGCAGCAACGCCAGCCGCCAGGTGCGGACGCGACTAGTTTCGTCACGCTCGCGCATTCCGAAATTGACGGCAGAGCCCCCGGGCGACGACGTGCGGTCGGACGTTGGCTGCTTGCACTTGTCGTTTTTCGTTCGGCTGCATGCCTGATCGAGCTCGAGTGCTGGCGAAGCAAATGAAAATCAGTTCAGTCCTCCTCCGGGCCGCGCGACCTTTCGACTCTTCCGGGCGTTGCGTCGCGGATCAGCTAGGCTCTCGCGCTAGCTGGCCTGCGCGTATGCGAGAAATAATAGGTTTTCTTCAAAGCCCGTGAATCATCGCGTTTCTTTGCTTGCCTCGTATAAGAACAAGATAGCCGAGGCTATAAAATCGCGAAATGAACAAGGCTGTAGAATCGCCGTGAGCGGGATCCAGCACCAACCCCCTCTCTCTCACTCACTTGGTTTCATTTGAAAAACGCTCGTCCGTCATCGTCTTTTCCCACGGGCAAAAGCCTTCTTTCCGCGATTTTCGCTCGAGCGAGCACCGCGTTCAACTTCTCCCTCCGCTCCCTCGCTCCCTCGCTCCCTCGCTCTCTCGCTCTCTCGCTCTCTCGCTCTCTCGCTCTCTCGCTCTCTCGCTCTCTCGCTCTCTCACTCTGCCGTTCGCAATGTGGATTAAGCCAAGTAATTAATGTCGGCCTTCCCGCGCGCTCGGCAACGGGCGTGAAGATTCCCCCGGCGAATTTGCCGATTTGTCTCGTTTCTTTTGTCCGCTGCTATTACTGCTGCTGCCCTCCGGAGAATTCCTCGCGGGACTATACATTGCTCGCCTTGAATGCTCGGATTTTTGCGCGAGAAAGAGCTGCAAGTGCGCTCCCATTGATCCCGCGATCAACTTCCAGAGTTTCGGCTTTTGTCCTCGCTGCTTCGCCTAACCTTCAGTTTTTTATCCCAGAACAAGTGCGTACTTGCCTATTTTAATCCTCCAGAGTGCACAGCACACGAGTTGTTCGTTACTTTTCCACAACCGACGAACGCTTTCGTACAACAGCTGAACAAGTTATTTGCGTCACGAGAAATAATAAGAATAACAAAACCAAGAGAAAAAACGAAGATCAAGTTTCGGTTAGTTGGACCAGATGACCGCTATTCGAATTAGGCATGCAATACTGGCCATATGGCGGAGCCCTTCAATAATATCGACGGGCGAGCTTCCCGCGAACAATAGTCATCCATATAGATTACACATTTCCAGACTCGTGCCAGAAATTATGCTATAGAATTTATAACACATCATCAATTGAGTTGTTAGAAGCAGACCTTCCAAATTTCCTTTAAAAGAAACAGAAAAAATTGGCCCACGGTAGCACTTGCGCGGCGCGAGCGAAGGAAAAAACCTGTAATATCATTTTCTCAAAGCAGGCGATGCTTGACCATAAGGTGCGGAGGTACTCTTAAAATCTAATGAATGCTCTTGAGCGCGGAGAAAACCCATTAGGCTGTGTTGTTTTACCCGTGAGCTTGCTAGGTGTGATGCAAAAGGTCGAGACGAGAGGGGAGAAAACCAAATTCTGTTGTGTCACGCGAACGTCAGTCTGCTCTTCCTCTCTTTCTTTTCAGCGACTCTTTCACTTTGGCCTTATTTTTTCTGACTATTCTGCGCTTTGAGCGATAAACAGCGCCGGAGGTCCTAGAAAAATACCGCCCAGTCACACTGTGAGCATAGTGTCAGGCATGCCGTAACAGTCGCCGACTTTGAGTGAAAAAATACCGATAATATATGAAAATAAACAACGGGGCCTGCAAGTGAGAATCGAGCAGGCCCGAAAGCTCGTGCGCGGAAACTTGTGACGCACGACGTGGGTTGGGCGAGACACAAAGAGCAACGCTTTGGCCAGATCAGCACAGCAGACGCGAGGCAGGCTGTTTAGCTAACGTTAATTGGCAATCAGCTCGTCACTCTGGCGTGGAGCGAGAAGTTGAGCCGCGGGAAAATTGGCCACAACGCTGACAGATTCCTCGGTAGGCGCGGCAGGCTGGGGCGGTGGGCTTCCAGCCAACTTGTCGCGCGGCTAGTACATCGGCCCTGATTAATTTGCGTGCAACGCCCGTGCACGGCTCGAATTTGGCGCTCAAGCAACGCTCATGTAACGATGTAATGCGCGTCACGCGTCTCTCGTCCAAGAGCACAAAGACAGGAGAGCTTTTTCGAGGCTGCCGGCTGACAAAATCGGCCTCGTGCGCTTTGATATCGAGCACGAGCACACGTTGCACGGAATCCGATCGCCTCTATATATATACGAGTATATATATATGTGCTCGGGGGATATCGGGCGCCATTCGAATGATGAAATTACAGTTCACAGCTTGGCTAATGGATACGTTGGCTATTGATCCACGAGCGAGGGCGCGCGCCCACACATTTCACGTGTAACTTAATGGGGATAGAGATGCAGTCGTCTTAGGCGACCAAACTGAATTGACGGCTGGGCGCTCGCCGGCCTCGCGTGTCAATTAGTTCTACGATCGTTCGGTCGAATGTATGTTCAATCGGACCGAGCTTCAGAGATAAACCTTCGCAAATTGGCGAACAAACAGTCAACTTTGGACGCTGACAAAGTTGCTCGCAGCAGACGCGTCTACCGAACGGATGGAATCAGCTGGTCTCTCGCACTCGGCAAATAGCGAGTGCGCTGTGCGCTATCGACACGTTTGTCCGCTGCACTTAAACGTGTTCGGACAGGGAAGGTGGGGGGTCAAGTGGGGGGTCAAGTGGGGGGAGGGGGGGGGGGCGCTGGACGACAATAATGGGCATTGCGCGAGGAGCTTGTTAACGAGCTACGTGAGTGCGCGCACTGTCGATTTGCATGACGCGGCCGAGCGAGCCGATCGCCGACATAAGCGTCCCGTGATTTAATCGGCGCCGCTCTCGCTCTTTCGTGTTCTCGCGCGCGCTTCGACTCGACCTGCAAATCCCAGGCTCTTTTGTCGTTCCGACGACGTTAACGGTTGCCAGTAGAAAGGTGCAATGAATAAAATACTACGGGCTTTCCACATGTATTTTTATGCGTATCACATCGCTTGGAATTGTGCGATAGTCGCGTCGATAAGTTTTCATCAACGAGTCGCGTGTTATCTTGGAGTCGACCAAAGGTTATCTAATACTTGCATGCGCGCTCAGAAAAGTCAGGATAAAAGTAATAGCGTTCACGAGTATATAGAAGAATATTGTTAATAATGCAGTGGTGCTCTTGTCGGCGCCTCGCCGATTCACGCCGACTCCATTTCGCATATGAACGATTGCTTTTCGGTGCACTTCACGTAGGACAGGTACTCTTGATCGTCGATAATGGCACAGTTCGGACCGGATCCCTCGGCGTGTCTCGTATATCCAGCCTTATCCGATGCACCTTTTCTCCACTGAATGTGCTCGGCGTCAGCCAACACACCGAAAAATATGGTTATCCAAGATCCATTCTTGCAGTAATCGTGAATGCCGACGTACGCTTTCAAGTTGTCGACAGATTGTAGCGTTGCCATTTTCCTCCTCATCAAGTCTCCCAAAGCCTGCGTCACGCAACTCGTTGATTAGGCGGAAAGTCGCAATGAATGGTAAAAGAGCATCAGTGTGCAAGGTATACCTTTCTTTCGGCGAGCGAATCGACGACAGCGAGATGAGCCTTCTCCTGGCGACAGCGGTGCAGTGCCTCCGTCCAGCTCAACTCGGTGAGATAGAGCTTATGATAGCCAACTCCCGGGGCGAAACTGTAGCCTCTCGCTACGAGGAAATCGTGATACGATTTGTCGAGCACGTCCGCGCTCGCCGTGTCGTTTAAAGTCTTCTCCAATTTTTCCTTCATCGATTTCACCCTCTTGACGATGTTTTCCAACGAATTAATTAGCGGATCACTCGTCATGGTCGTGGTCGTCGTCGCGCTCGTGGTCGTGGTCGTGGTCGTGGTCGTGGTCGCAGCCGTGCTCGGGTCCATCGCAGCATATTTACTCTGGACTTGCGGCTCGCTGATGGATTTCGAAGGCGCGACTAGAGCCACTAGACAGCCGACCATTGCCAAGAGAAGTTGCGGCTTCGGTCGCTTCATGACGAGCCTCTACGCAGACGGGAGAGTACGCACTGAGAAAATATGAGCTGTCGGCTGGTCCGACTCTCATTCTTATACGAAAATGCGCGCGGGGCAGATTGATAAAATTGACGAGCAACAGCTCTACACTTGACAACACTGCGTCATGGAGGACAATGGATGAGGCCAAGCTGGCGATAAAAATGTAATGAACTGAGATGCGCGGACCGATGGAGGGACGAAAAAAGCGACAATTAATCGTTTGTAATTTATCCTCTCTGGCGCTCGGGCATTCGAGGAATCGAAGGAAAAGTGGAGAGGATCGGCCGAAGCAGCCGAGGCCTAGGCGTCGGGAATTCCAAGCAATTTGGCATCCTCAAACAACACGCTCGCGCGCAGTTTGCCTGCGCGAAATTTTCGGCGATGCTCCGAGCGCCAATCGATTATGAGAGGGGAGAGCTGGCTAACACATACACACGCTAAAGCCCATTAATCTTTCTTAAATTGATTATGGATGCCGATGTATATAAGCGCGCCCAAGTGGCAATTTTCAAGCAGCACACTTCTTTTTTTGCTCCTATCTTTGGCTTTTTTCACGATAAAAATGAAAAATTTTCCCCTCGGCGTGCTCGCAAGCCGCAATTTCGTGCCAAATTAAATTTGCAAAAAAGTATGGTTCTTAATTGCAGCAGGCGATAATCGCGCGCTAAGTAAGCCAATTTCTTGGAGCTTTCACTGAAATGCGACGGACTGCTTCTGTCCATTTCTGTGCTCTATTTCTATTTCCGGAATGGATTGTCAGGGCTCGGCTGCCATTTGGACTACTGCAAATATAGTGGGCAAGCCGTTGCTAATCTACGGGCTGGCACGATGAGGTGTAGGCTGCGACAGTAGACGACATGAGAATCAGCTGATCGCCAGATGTTCCGCTGCCTAAGACACATGGCTTGCTTGCGCAGATGCAGTAGTGCAGCATCGCTACGCGCCGCTCTCAAATATTGATCGATCCAATTTGGTGCACACATGACAGTGGCTAATACGATCGCAATTGTATTCCACACAGGCTGACGCCCGTAAAGCACCCGAGCCATCTACGCCATCGGTTCTGTCCGCGAAGATAGACGCCTCTATCTTGGCTGGCGCGACACGGTATGCCAGGCAAATGCCCAGGCAAATGGCCCTTGAATTTGATTATTGAGGTGGCCGATAGGCATTATATGCATTACGTGCGTGTGAAAGCGTGTTTTCAAATGGATAATCCGATATCGCTGTGTATGCCCGCGAGGCACGTGTCACGCTTGCGCGTACGTGTAACCGGATTTAACGTACGGGCCGCGCGCCGCCAATTTCAACTGCGATGTTAATTGAATGCATAATTTTCGCGCTTGGACCATTAGCTCCGTTGAAAGATAAATAACGTAAGCCCCCTCATCAATGAATGCTTGATGGCCTTATCGTGTTTATGGACTTGGCGTAAAGGCTTAACGACTGCCATTTCATAAAATATCCAAATTGCATTGACTACTATAGACCCTGGCTTGCAACGCGCCATCTTGCTCGTTCTTGGCTGACTTCCTTTTAATTCTCACGTGCGCTGCAATGATCAACGATAATATTTCGTTTGACGCTAATGGAATATCCATGCACATTGGCTGGTAAATAATCATGCTCGTAAAATCAAATGTTCAGCTTGGCCTGTGATGTACAATTGGCGAGCTCGCTGCGAGTGTACCATTTCAATTGCTTTCTCGCTCGTCGATACTGTCGTCGAATCAACGAATCAGCGAATCAACGAATCAGCGAATCAGCAAATCAGCAAATCAGCGAATCAGCAAATCAGCAAATCAGCAAGTCACCAAACCACCTTTTCCGACCGAACGACCGAATAATCGTCTTCAATGACGATTGCAGAACAATCGCGAAGGTACTCGGACCGACGCTTCGTACGCCCGTGAATACGTACAGCAGCAAGCAGCAAGTACTGAAACGCTGAAAATGTGTGTCGCATGCTGAATGAGAAGCGCGCGTCGCAGAGTTTCTCCGTGGACTTGTTAACGAGAGTCGATTAGACTTTCAGCTGTCGCTGCGCCGGCATTTATATCGGCATTTATTCTCGTTCCGCGAATCGCGGAGTACGACTGCATGCAGGAGGAAGGGAATACGTTCCTTTGCTTGTCTCGCTCGAGCGGAAGCTACCGCTGTGCGCGTACAGTGCATGGCCGGCCAATTGGACCGAGTGCATAACTTGAAAGCTGGCTGACGCACAAATGGAGGCTCGCTGCGCGCTTGCTGTAACTTTCACTCTTCGCCGAGTTCTGTTTTCAGCTTTGGCCTGCCCACATGATCACACGCACGCGAAAACGCGTTGCCGTACTGCGTCCTTTCATACTGCACTTTGATCAGTATTTTGTTCGAAAGCGTCCGATGCTTGCGAGTCGCTGTTACATCGAGCGAACAACGACAGTTTGCTCATTTCCAAGTGAGCCTATGCCGATAATTTACATCTCGCAACCATGAACTTTAAAGCTCCTCTGCCATCTGAAGCTTTCGTATGCCGGCGAAAGCATTTTTTATAGAATATTCCGGAAACCTCGGCGTGGATAACAATCGAAACTGCACGGCAGCTCCGTTCTCGCGCGATGCGCATGGAATAGTCTCACGTGTCGGGGGCAAAACCGCTGGTCTCGTGCGTCAGAGCAAGCGCGTCTCACACACGTATCGGGAGAGCGAGAGAGAAATCATTAAAACCCCGGCGCGCATCAAAAGGATTGCGACTGCGGCGCGCCGACGTAGCTTTACGTTGGCAGTTTATACTTGCGAGCGACGGGGCCGGACATCCGGCGAGCGTCGCGCGAATAGCAAATACCCCAGAGAGCTATACGCCTTGTTTGCAGCAGCGATGCTCCTTTTTGCCAAGAAGCTGCGCTGCCGCGATCGACGGCCAGCTGTTACGACGCTCGGGTTGCGGATTAATTTTCTCTCCACGCGATACGTCTGTCGATTTTTATAATTGGAACGCCCTCTTTGTCGTTGGCCGCGCCTGCTGTATTACTCTGCCTGGCGAATAATTTACTCGTGTGCCAGTTTTTCTTCGCCGTGCTCGTGCAATTTTCTCCGAAAAATCTGTGCATCGATTCAGCCGCAATCTCTTGCAAGCGAGAGTATTGCATTTCAATTCTGCGATTTTAATGAATTTAGTGCTCGAGTCTACCGCAGCAAGTCAATCCGAGGGCAAGCGACCCGGCAGCTTGTCTTACGGCAGCGTGGTCGCAACGAGCATCCGATATTGCGTGCATTCGTCAAACCAGGTCGACTGGCAATGACGTCGCGCAAAAATGCGCCGCGGAAGTGACTGACGGCAAAAAATCTCTCGTCGTTGCGCGAATACGCTGCGTATGAAAAGCATTCCTCTCGGTCTCCCGCTCTCCCACTTCCCGAACATCCGCCGCGAGCCGATGAAAGGACTGCGCTAATCATTTGCTGGCCGTGCATGCCAACTCTACGTTTCGCCGGAAGCTTGCACCAACTGTTACTTTTCACTTTTGTCCACGGACACATACCGCGAATATGTGCACATGACGCGCTGCCGCGATGACGAAACACGAGGAACAAGAGGCTCAGCCGTGCACCACCTCCTTTTTTCCGCTCTTGTCGTCGCCGCGAGCACTTGCTGTGCAGGAGATTCGCCTATTATTTACATCGGCTTCGCCTGGTACAACGTTCGACTTGTCATTTTGACGCTCTAGCTAAGTCTGAAGCACACTCTGGCCGTCGATTTGCGTACCACGGTGTTACTCGACAGTCGTTGTATTTCGATTGCTTCACGGGTATTAAAATACAGCAACGAGCGCTTTCAAGTATACCAATTGACGAGGCATCATCATCCGGCCCATTAGCCAGTAATAATTGAATTCAATTCAATGCATTTTCAATCATTAGAGCTGTTTTCCAAAAACTTAATTATATACAAACGACACGAATGAAGCAGAACGCGCCCATTCAGTCATTAACTAAGGCGCACGAAAACGCTGCTGTCCGTATACATATGTACGGATATTTATTTTGTGCGACAACAGCGACAACAGCGACGATAGCGACGATAGCGACGATAGCGACAGCAGCGACGATAGCGACGACAACGATGACAACGACGACAACGACAACGACGACAACGCAGACGAGCTCGCAAACGCAGCGAAGCGTCGCGCGGCGACGCTTCTGGCAAAGGATAATTAGCTTGTCGGCGGAGCTGCTGTTGCTGCCTCGTTAAATTTGAGTGGGCCACGCGCACGAGCATCGACGTATGATGCCGAAGCCTTAGTCTGCGTGTGTAACGAGCTATCGATGCCGCGGACCTCGTTTGTCTTTTCAAGCCAACGACCCGCCTGCCGTATTGTGTTGCACGTAGCACAGCCTGTTCACGGGTGATCTGTGCAGGGCGCACTACTCGTCTTGCTTCATATTCCAGCCAATTTCACAACTTTTATTCTTTGCTCAATTTCTTCCTTGATGCAGAACGCGAAAATCAACGTGACGTTTCATCAGTCCGTGGTTGCATCGCAAAGAATCGTCGCGCACGTTCAGCACCCTCGCGTGGTCTGGCCGAGATGGCGCTTCATACAAAAGAGCACGAATGGCTAATTCCTCTCTTTCTTTTCTCGAGCTCGTCGGCGAGAACTCGGTGACGGGCGGAGAGCGACTGTGATTTATGAGGAAGCGCGTGCATCTCATTAGAATTTTCGGTCGGCGCGCGGCCGTGATCGTCGATTTCTAATGGTCGGACTGGAAAATATCGCGTTACGGCTCTTCGAGATAAATCATCTCCAATGACACAGGAATCGATCGATCTGATTGATCGTGCGCGTGAATCCGCTATTTCCAGCTTTGCTGCTTTGACTTTGTGTCTTCCGCTGCCGTTGGACTCGCTTACAGGTACCGCGGACGATTACCATTCCGAACGTAACGAACTTAATGAAATCCGAATGATGATTGACTTATCGAGTTAGCAGCGCGGCGCAAAATCAGGCGCTAACGTGA